ATTTTATGTCGTACTTTTAAACACTTGGAAGGTTTTTATTAATTTATCTCACGTTGCATTCAAATGTACATACCTAATTTTTTTTTAAACACTATTCGCCTTTATTTAATATAATTAGATTTTATCAAGTGATTTTTGCATATTATTATCCGAAACCGACAGTTCCGACTTTTCCAATTATGACGTTTAAATGGTATAAATAAACTCATGATTTTCGATCATAAGCTCAGTCTTTGATGTTTTTTTTTTCACAGTTACAATAGCCATATAAATGTATATGGAAACTATTGAATTTTTAAAGCGTAAATGTCAGAAAATTCAACATTTGATGCTGTGATATTTATTTGCAGCTGTTAATATTTATTTAACGTTGATATTTTTCTTTGAATTATTAGTATATATATTTTATCAACGTAGGTACAAAGCAAATATTAAATTAAAAATAAACGAGTACCAATAACGTAAAAAAGATAGGAAGACACCGGAAACTTATTTACAGATCCTTAAAATATAAAACTAAGTAATTTTAAAATGTACTTACCTCATCTCAGCTAATACTAATTCACTGTTTCCAGGATTTGTAGTTCCAGATGTTGTAGTTGGTGTTGTATTGGAATTGGTGGGATCTTGTGCTGCGCCATCTCCAGTTTGGCCTTGGGTATTTGTCACCGCCGAGCTAGTCACACTGCTTGTGGTTGCTGTGGTTACCTTCGGAGCAGTGGTAGTCACAACTCTTGAGTTTGTGGAGTTTTGATTGTTGCTTGTTGTTACTTCCGTAGAACTTATTTGTCCAAAATTACGCATCCATGCTGGTCCAAACTTAATAGGGTTGTTGCGATCTCCCATGATTGTCACAGTTTTAATGAAATTATCAAGGCTGAAATAGAATTATAGAGTTACAATGACGTAAAAATAAACTAAACTTAGCATCTGTAATCAGCAGGAGTCTGCAGATGTCCATGCTTTAAATTTTTCCCATCTTTTCTTCTGTACTCATACATCTAGTCATCTTTTTTATAAAGTAGACTTTTCTTTGTCCCTTTTCTTTAGAAACATTGAAGTGACAATATTTTTATGTACATATGCATTTATCCTTGTTCCAAGCCAAAGCCAAGATATTGTCGACAATGGATTCACTGCATAGTTTATGGCAAGCCTCATAAATTCCAGAATATTCTCACTTATGCATATTTGTTATCAATATTATACCATATCATCATCATCATCATCAGCTCACTATACGTCCCCACCGAGGGGCTCGGAGCCTACCCTAAGTTAAGGGATGTACCATATCACTGCACACTAACTCATGAATTTCACAAAATTACATTTCTTTTAAAATTATGAAATATTATAATGACCACCATGCATGGAATTAGGTTATTTTTTGTTTCAAATTTAAGGTATCTATTAGGAGTAGGAATTCAGTTATTCAACTATTTACAAACTAATGTTTAACACTAATTAAAATTGTATGTAATAGCACAGCAATATTTCAAATTAAACATGAATAAACAGCAAAAATCATCGCTTTCTAATTCACGCCAAGCTTATCGCATCGCATTTTCTATTCTTATTGTTGTCTTCTTGTTTTTTGCTTAACTAAATTATCATTTATGGCATACACATGTTAGTATACAACCAATTATATCATATACAATTAAACCGTCTGATATGTAAAACAAGTCACTATTGTATGCAACAATGTTAAAAATAGCTCAAGTAGAAAAAGGGTTTTAATTTAATAAATGTCTACAATACGCTCAGCAACAAGACCATTTATTAACAATGAAATTTATTTATTATTAATAATAATCTGTAGAAGCCTTTCTTTACATTAAGTCTAATTACATATGTGTTTTAACTATTGAGACACATGTCCATTCCTTCTATGTTTTTAACAACGAATTGACATTATATTTTAGTACAAGTGTTTTGGCAGTGGAAAATCCAGCTAATATTGTGAATTGTGAGTTTTAATAACATTCGCATTCCATAAATAAATATTGCAACTGATATAATTTCCTGTAACGTCCTATAGCAAAGGGAGCAATAACTGTGAGAAAGCATTTTTTCCTATACACCAAATATATAACTTACTTATTTTTAAAAGATTTGTTATCCCTTATTAGCTTTTATTAGAATAAAAAGGCTTATAATTTATCCCATCTCAAGATTTAATTTTGTAAACATAGGAACCTTTAATGCTTTTACTTCTTAAATTCCAAAATATTTGTGGAAACCATCTTTTTCTCACATAACCTAATAATAATAGCTATAAATGTTATTCTATTACACTTATCCTGTAACATTACTGGTGAAATTATAAGTTTGAAGTTTGCATATTAACAGAGATTAATTCTTGATTTTAAACACTATAATTACTAACTGGTGCTGTACAGCCAGCAATTCAAGCATGGAAATACTAAATAATTAAAAGGTAATTGAGTTCAAAATTATTTTCCTTAGTTGCTTTTCTTCTAAAATTCATATATAAAGTGACAACATACTGACTGTTTAGTGATTAGTATGTGGAGGTTATAAATGAAATCAATTGATGTATTTTTATTGAAATTAATTATGTAAGCCCTAGTCTAAATTATTAAGTACTTACTTTGATTGAGACTTTAAATCCCATACTTTGATAAAAGAATGTTAAAAAGAAAATGTATACTTTCATTATTTTCAAACATATTTGATTGTTTGTAATAACTTTAGAGATTTAGAGCAAATACTATGTTTGTACTTTAGTTTTCTTACTAGATTATCCAAAGTTTACTGATAAAATGTTTTATAACAATAAACTTTTAATGTTTAAGGAAAAGGACTTATTATAAAATCAATGACCAATACTAGAAATATAATGAGCTATGTGATATTGTTTTTAACAGTCCATTGCATTTCCACATCTGGCATAGAAGCAACATTAAATTTGTTGCACATTTAGAGCTTTGAAGAGTAACAGAAGCAAAAGCAACATCAAAAATATGTTGCAATTGTTACTCTCCCATGAAATGCAAGTTTACTTCTTGCCAATAACAAAAGCAAGATTCATTTAACTCAATGATGGCTTTAATTCTATTTGCATTAGTCTCAAGTAAAATCTTGAAATATTATAATTTGGTTTTGCATAATACCCAAGTATCAAAACATAATTAGGTACTTATAAAATTATAACTCCCAGAGGATGATATCATCATCATCAATGCTAAACAATATTCAAAAAAACTATTGCGACGCAGTTATATAAAAGGGAAAACAAACCTATGGTAATCTACTTCACGACTGAACGTAACTTCTAAAAATAAATTCATGAATAAAAGATCTTGAATAATTTTGATTCTTTTCATGATAATTCAATCCCAGAAACAGGGAATGGAAAAATATTATACAGTATTGTAAATGATAATACCTAGAACTGGTTTACTTTACAGTATTAATTCAGAAAGGATATGATATCACCCCATTTGCTAAACTATATTCAAAAGACTATTGCGACATAGTTTTATGAAGGGGAAAACAAACCTATGCAAATCCACTACAAGATAAAACGCAACTCCTAAAAATAAATTCATGAATAAAACATTTAGAATAATTTTTATCCTTCACTTGACAATTCAATCTCAGAAACAAGGAATGGAAAAGTTTCAAAATCTATTATAAGTATGAAACCTTAAATAAGTGTTATAACTCACAGTATTGTCCTGCACTTTTTTATTCAACTCAACAGCTCTTTCTCACACCTCAATTTCAACCAAGTTCTCAAATGAAAATGAAATCAATAAAAACTTCACTCATGTTTTATAGTTGTTAATAGAAACAGAATTTTTTTAGATTAATAACTATTTTCTTTGATTCACTGGTTCTTTGTTGCAACAAATGCTTTTCACATTTACTTTAACTGAACTACAAAATGTCAAGTGCGTTATACGTCGAAAAAGAAAATTTTGTGCGCAAATATGGATGCTAGTCGATCAATGAATCAAGTTTCCATCTCACCATATTGTCAATCTCTAATTAAGACATTTAACTAGTTTTCATCTTACATTATTCCAGATAAATGAAACTAGAATAAATAAAACTGGAAAATATGCTGATTTTGCAATATTGCAATAAAATGTACAACGTAATTTTTAGGTATCCCAACAAAGGGTATGGATGAAAAATAAAACTCACAAATGCACTACTGAATTTACAAATACCATAAAAATCGTTGAAGTTTAGACATTGCACTAATTTAAAGTATATACCTTGCGATTTTTTACAGTTTGAGAACATATTAATGCTGAGAGAATTTAATTTTACTTAACTTTACCAAGGTGGCAGGTAGTGATTTTTCACATCAGGTCACGTAGATAATTATATATCATATTTTCTTAAAATTCGCATGTTATATGACCTAATGTGAAACATATTATGTGTTAAAGTGTTAAATTTCACTTACCTAAGATCTGGAGATGCAACTCAATAATAGACGCACGCACGCACGGTAACGACGGAGTAAAGTAAAATATGGCGGACGATGAAGGAAACGAAACGATCGTTCCGACCATAGAGTATCGATCAATTGGTTAACGAAAACCTGCCTGATGCTGGCAACATTTCCTGTTTTGGGACGTTTATTGACGTTTATTGTAACGATTTGACTGGACTTGTCTGTGACTTTAAAGAAACGGACCAGGCAAAGAGCCACTGTTATATGAAATAAACCATCGCAGTAAACAAACAATGGTAAATTACAATGTATTTCTGGTTAAACATTTTTTTTATTTATAGATAAAGCTATTTGAACCGGTGGGTATAAACCAAACCACGGTGTGTCTATTTAAAATTAATTAGTTTGACAACTGACGCTTATAAAGGATCGAACTAATTTTGTACTAATTCCAAAATTGTTTGAAATTTATTGGACGGTTGTCATAGTGTCAAACCTTACGCGCATACCGAACAAAATATATTGAGTATCGATCTTGTAATACACATTCTTGGAACAAATAAGTACTATAATTGATTAATTTTGTGACTTTCCGAATTTATTACATTAATTTGGCAACGTATCGTACAATAATTATAACTAAAAACATTAAATACATTTTAAACCTCAATTTTTGGTTTTCTGTTTTATTTCTTTACGTATTTTTTTAAGAAAAAAGAAGGAACAGAAAAAAGCAATTTTATTCATATTCTAATTTAAAACCATAATCAAAAATTTTCGATTGCGATTTCTATGAAAACAACCAAGGAAAACCGAAAATATTCAAAATCGATTTTACTAAACATTTTTAGTGAATTGTCAAAATTATCAATCTTAAATAGACACACTTTTAATTGTGACAGCTTACTAGCCCCCTTGTCAACGTCAAAAAATGTCAAATGATCCTCTAAGTACTCTGTATTTTATATACTCTTTGTACTCTATTTGTTGCTGTGGTACTTGACATTAGCCTGCACTACTGATGTTTATATATAGATAGGCTGTAAACCGTGGTATTTTGTGCCTATTTGATTTTTGCCTTTTTGGCGCAGTTGGTTACGGTTGGTATTGATGGTGAAGAATCCTACTAATTATAGAGATGAAATAAGAGGCAAAAGCTGCCATTTTTAAGGAATAGCCTATCCATTACAGTGAAATTATACTTTCTAAGGGCCTAGCACTTGCACTAGCCTTGTACAGCTTTGCATCGAACGTAAAGTACAATCACAAATCTTATACAAATCTTGTCGATGATGTTATGAATACTTTCTGGCAATTTTTGTGCCAGGCCTCCTACTAATATTTCGTATCACGTTACTGAACGACATAAAGGGCTAAAATATAGCGTCTGGCACGCATGTACTTATGTGATATTTCATAATAAACCGGACATTTAAGAATATATAGACGAGACATAGTGTACTAAATATTTTCGCTGGTCGGTTCGTTTTTCGTTCTGTATAGTCTTCTCTGTGGTACGGTCACATCTGTGTTGTCAAGTTTGACACACATAGAATTTTCCAAGTAATTCTAGAACCTTCGCAATGTTGCGATAAGCTCCCTCTGTTGTTGAATAGTATTATTACTGAATCCCTACTGCTGCCAGGGTCATATTTTTCACCAACTTTATTTATAACTTTGAGTTATCGATAACAATTTGCTACTGCGTAGGTGTGCAATGTATCGAAATTTCACTTTTTATGCAGCTAAACTTTAAATTTAATAACTAATAGGTATTATTTTTCATTATTTCATATATCATTTGTTATTAAAGTGAAAGTGAAATTGATTATTTAGGTATTTTCATTTTTTTATATAACACTAGGGGGCAAACAGGCAGCGGGAACACCGAGGAGTATTTATTTTTTCTAGATTTTTTTTGGCAGATACCAATAATTTGTTTAATTACATAACGTTAACACACTATGAGGATAACTTTATGAATTTATAAAATAACAAATTATCGAATTTTGACGCAAAAATAAATTACATACAAATTATTAGTGAACTATAACACTACCATTTATGAAATATACCTTGCTTAAATGTGTATATATTTTTTTAGTCATGTAATATTGTATGGGGAATATTTAAGCTATAGGTTAGGGTTATACATTTTTAGTTTAGTCACTCAAACGCTATGTATAAAATAAAACTCGAATACCCTTACATATGATTTATTATTAATACTGTAACAAAACAACCACTACTTAAAAAATAGACATAATTCATAGCAAAATATAATATAGGAATGATTTTCTTCAAATAAGAAAACCTACATTTACACAATGTACCTGTCTTTGAATGTTTAATATTCTATATTCTATTTAAAGTTAGGTCGAAAAGTTTCCAAAGATAGTAAGACTCCAAAATTCTTACATTTAGCAGTGGCATGTATTTATATCATTTTAAAATTATTACAATAGTAATTTTATCTTGGCAGTATTCAGACCAAATGTAGAGACTTCATAAATTTTGACAAAAACACAAATATTATTATTCATGAATATGAATTAAAACAGAACAAGAAACATTAATAAATGGCCAGTAACTAACTTATAAATGTAAAATTATTATATAAAATAAACACATTTAAAAACTTGCCATATGACAATCACAAAGTTACAGGTAAAAGTGCCTGGGCATTGTAATATTCTATCGATGAATTTAAATTTGATGCTTTAAATTACATAAGCACTCTAAATAGAATATAAGTATACCTTACACCTTCATTCAAATGATTAAAGTACATTTTAAAATTAACTTACAAATGTTTATGTGTGTCGTTGGATTATAATCTGCAGTACAAATACGTTAACACTGTTCTTCGGATGTAAGAATCAATACTGTAAATTTTAGAAAAGCAATGTTTAAAATATAATTTACAAATGAATGAATGTGCGGCAGATCTTAGTGTTATCCTTAAACTATGCAGGATATATGCTAAGCATATATGCTTAAATTTACACTATCACATATCTGATAACGCAAATTTAACTGGTAATCAGTGTTTAGAGTCTAAAGACTTGGCTATTTAATATTTTTCACCTAAAATCACAAAAGAAATGATAATTTAATTTTTGAATACTTATATTTTAATGTATACTAAAATAATGTTTCTTTCAAATGGAAATATATATTGAATACATAACGGATGTCTGTCGGATTAAAGTTTCAAATCAAAAGTTGATTTATAAAAAAAATCAAATTCAAAATTCATCGATTATTTAAGACAAATACACTTAAAATTATAGTCAAGTAGTAATGATACCTATCAATTAAATGCTTTGTTTTATTTAACTAAGTATATCTAGTCATGAATAATACTAGTCAAGTCAAACAATAAAAATGTTATTTTTGGTTATTAAAATGCCTTTAATTCATTACAAGGACCAAAATTGTATCACTAAATAAGTGCATTGTTGAAACATAGCCTTTGTCTGTCCGACCAGGGTCATATCGTTTAATTTTATTCTCACTTTAAGAAGCTTTCCAGTTTGAAATTCTTTTCCAAATTATATATTGTTGGATTTTAAACCTAATAATGTATCACAATTTCAATCATGCACTAGAATACATCTCACACGTTTATAAAGTTAGAAACTACAAGTACTTAAATAGAAATGGCTACAGAGATTCGGTACTGAATTAAAATAATGAAACACAACCTGACATTTGCGAGATAAATCATAGTTGTAAGTAATATTAATCTCAAATTATTTCATTTGAGTATGATAGAAACTCAAAAATATACTAAAATAACGTTTTAAAGAACAATAAAAAAAAACATAGAGATATTAAAGAGAAACAAAGTTAAATCGAATCTTAGCCGTTAATTTCATTTGAGCCTTAATCTAAAAGTAGTCTTTCCAAATCACTATTCCTTTGATTCAATTATTTCTATAATACTGACGTAGGAACCTGTTAAAAAGCCGAGTATTCCGAAAGAAATCAAAAATACATTCTTCCAGAGAACCCAATTAAATCGGCCGAGACCGTTCGGCCTGTCCCAAAATGCGACAACCTCAATAATCGAAGGGAATATAAGACCCAAAAAGGACAGGCATACGGCACCGACAAGAGATATAAATGGCCCAAGGTTCGGAATAGCAATGGCAATACACAGCGTGATTATTATTATGAAGATCCTGATGCTGTACTCGGCGAGATTCTTTTTGGCTCCGAACCAGTGACGCACGTTCCTCCAGATGATATCCATGGGCACGTAGAATTGTAGACTGTACGTGAAGAATATGGCGACAGCGATCATAAGCTTCACACTTTGTCCGAGTCTGAAAAGAAAAAATAAATAAATGAGTAGTCAGAAAACTTCAGTCATTTAAGCTTAATAAGGTTGTAGCATGCGGCAAGCTAAATCATAATTCTATCTTTTTACTAAACTAACAATTAATAAAAAAAAGGATACTAACACTTCATCTTCGGGTAAATTGATGGTAATACTTCCAGATGTCATATCTCCATATTTCAGATATCCGAAGAATCCAGTAAAAGCGTACAGCGAGACAACAAAGAACATGCCAGTGTTTAGCACACCAGGGCAGCCGATGAAATGATGAGGAGTCTTCATGTTGTTTTCAAGTGGCATCACAACACCAATTCCTTCTAAAGCGAAGATGGCCGTACCGAAAAATGTTGGCAAATGATTGAATCCGGCGAAAGGTTTACGCTCGCTGACACTTGGGATATCTTGGAAGAGATAGTAGAAGGTTATACCCATACCGGTGCCGACCAAAAGGTTTGCCAGCATGGAAAATGGTGCCAAATATTTTAAGTTTCGGATCAGATTCATAGATATGAGGAGAGGAAGCAGCAATGCCATGTAAATTCGCACATCCATATCATGGGGGAACCACTCGCTGTCTTTAGCATAGAAATCCGCTACTTGTTTGATGTTCTTGGATACAAACACGATGTACACACAGCAACAGCCCAGCAAATCAATCACCAAGAACGAGTTCACGAGGGCTCTGCAAAAGAAAAATTATATATATGAATAAAATTCGCAATCACTTTGATGCTAAAAATGTAACAAATTTTGAATGATTTGC